TACCCCAATAATCTTGAGTAGTTACTTTAACTGCAATATGCTGGAGTAGCATAAATTTTTACTGTAAGTCCAATATCTGTTGTGGCTTTACTTGCACAGACGTTCCTAGCTTTACTTGCAAGTTCGCAACAAGTTTGTACTCCTGGAGTATGTGCAAATTTATAAGTGCTCGGCTAAATTTTGGAGTATTTGTTCAGTCCTGGAAGTAAAATTCCCTAAATTCAGTTTACAAAAACTGTAGTTGACTACTGAAACTACTTGCTGTCTCCCATGATATGTTTATTTGGAGTACTGAAACTTGCAAAGAAGAAACTTGAAACTTGCTATACCTGGAGTACTTGCTGTAGTAACCGAATAAATTATGGTGCATAATTACTCCAGGATATGTTAGGTTTACTGTATTTCAGTCCGCTGGGAATAATCTGGGAATGCACTTTATTTGAAGCACTGATGATCATGTCTACATTAGGATATGTTTATTCGGAGTATATGTCCAGATCTAACGGGAGTATACCTGCTTCTTCTTCTTGGATATTGACATCTTCTTCTCCTGCAGGTACATCTTCTTCGAATACACGTGGACTGCAGTTCAAGCCTGGGAGAACCATCTCATGTGATGTGCTCATGCTACTGGGCGAGGAGGTGGGCGGCGAGGAGTGCCTGGACGCGGCCAGGAGTTGGGCGGCGAGGAGCACAGGAGGTGATTTCAAAATTCAAACGCAGCGAGGAAATTCCTGGGTGATGAAGAAGGTGGACGGGGTAGAATTATCCTTTTACAGATGTTTGGACGCTATCGAAATTTCTAGAAACGTCTTATATTTGTGAATAGAGGGAGTAGACTAATCTTTTCAGCGGATGTGCTTCAATACACCTCTGCTAACTACTTTTGTACGTTTCTTAATAAATCAAATAGATTCGAATGTGAATAGCCCAGTGAATTAAATAATTCACCACAAAATATCTACTTATAAAGGATTGTACTATACTTTCGGGTCAAAAAAAAAAGAAGGATTGAGCTATAGGCACATGCTCCTCACACTCATATGGTTGTGTTCCCTCAATATTCACTGGTTGATGGCATGATTGCACCTCCAGAGGTAATTGCACTTGAGTCTGCCATCGCCACGAAGCTCATACCCTCCCCACCCGTCTCGGTCGTGGCTGTGGTAATGGTGGCTCGAGTGGAAGCCGCCACTCTCTCTCTTGTGCAACTTAGTCTCCCCTACTCGTGGATGTACAATTTTCCTCGCTGGCACCCCTGTCAAGTACTATGCCAGTGAGATGTGTACCTTCTTCTGCTGCTACGACCAACTACCTAGTACTCCCTCCGTCCGAAAATACTTGTCATCAAAATGGACAAAAAGGGATGCATCTAGAACTAAAATACATCCAGATACATCCCCTTTTATTCATTTTAATGACAAGTATTTCCGGACGGAGGGAGTAGTTGACATGCAACTTTCTTCACTATTGTCGGCACCCTGCCCCAACTATCACGCCCAATTACTTAGCAGTTAATGTGCAATTTTGGTTGCTGCCTCGAGCAACTGCATAAATATATACTGGATTAAATCCAAAACAGACTTGTGTCATCCCTAAAACTAGTCTTTTTTTCTGATGGCAACTTAATAATTAAGTGAGCAAAGAGTACATAAAAAGCACAATTATCTAAAAATTGTTTGTCCTTCTTAAGAACAAAACAAGCATAAAAGGGTGCAAATTTAGTAATTACAAAAAGGATTGGTGATCATGTTCAATTCACTAATGAGCAAAAAATGAGGTTGTTAATATTAGACTTTTGAATGATGTACCAGCAAAAATGAGGTTGTTAATTTATGACATGTAAAGCACAAAACATGAAGTTGATAGTACTGTATGTGAATCCATGAATGTGCTTTTTATCTTGCTCGAGGATGGGAAGGAACGATCTAGTGGCAGATCTGAATGATTTGGGCTCTTTGGAGCTAGGCATCTTGGAGGAGTGCGCAGCTCTGGACCTCATTCTCTTACGTTGGTGATATACACTTCAACATCTCCCACACCCATCATTCATGCATCTTCAATCTCCTACCATATATGGAGGATCTTATTGGTGATGTTGTAAGGAGAATTTGTTGGGCACTCCTTCACGCCACTGCTGATTAAACCAGCTATGGGTCCGCCACCGCCACGAAGCTCATACCCCCCTCACCCGTCTCAGTCATGGTTGTGGTAATGGTGGCTCGAGAGGAACACAAAGACGGCCTGATCAAGGGGATGGCCTTCGATGAGCCACACGCGAAGGTGGATGAGTGAGATTTGGGAATCGAGGCTTCGAGTTGAGTGGAGAAAGAAGACCATACAAGCTTAAATCCAACGGTCGGCCGTTAGTAGAGGCCAAATCATGTGTGCACCCCTTTCTAACATTTAGAATATTTCTATTATTGCACCAAGTTTTTCATTGAAACAACCACTTAAGCCACCTTGTACCCCTTATAACAGTAACAATACTCGAGTATTTTTTTTGAACTCTAATTGATAGATGAAAAATTATAGTTCAACAAGAAAAGTAAACACTGGCTGACATCAATCAAACGCGACGTTGGGTGGCCGGGATCCCAGGTGCGCAAGCAGAGCGTTTTAGGCTAAAAATGACCATGTCAAGGACACCGCCTATGGCCGCATATCTCAACCCGTTGCGGAGGGCCACGCGTGGCCCGTGATGCATGGAGAAGAGGGTGTCGGTGACTCCCAAGGCGACCGTGCTTTCAAAGGGGTAACCGGGGACACATGCAGCACGGTGCACCTAGTCGCCTTGACAACGCCAAACCAGGCTGCCCAACGGCCGACGGCGAGCGCGTTCTCAGGGACCGCCAGAAAGCCGCCGGCGAGGCGGCTCCCGTTTGGGGAGGTGCAGATGCCCTTGACGAAGTGGGCGACGGAGCCGAAAATGGCGGCAATGATGGCGTCCTCGCGCACCTGGTCGATGATGTTCGGTGCCGGCATCTCCCCGCTCGTCGGTCTCGTCGTGCCCATGGATCGATCGGCTTCTTGGTAGGTTTCCGGCGGCGGAGGTGGGGTGGCTGTGGCTTGGATTACAAGTTGGAGAAGCGATCTAGATCGGGGGTTTGTAGTTTGGACGTCTCGACTCGAGTCTAGGGCAGTTGGCAATATATGGAGTACGTACCCTACATGTACGTCCCGTAAATTGTTTTTTTTTGCCCGTATATGAGTAGGTCGCTGCGGCTGTTTCCAATATTGCGTTGCTGATTTTTTATTTTAACATAGCTTGCGTTGCTGATTACCAATACGTGTAGAAAAAGTATCTGAATGGCTTTCCCTACCCTAGCAGCCGTCAACAGCCAGGCGACTAAGGAGGCGATCTCCTTCCACCGATCTTCATCGTCCGGTGCGCTGGCCCCCTCTTCCTCCGGCCGCTGCTCCGGCGGCAGGAGGGAGGGGGACCCCGTTCCTCTGCTCTGTAGTTAGATTTTGGATTTGTAGGTTGTGGTGCGTCGTTGGGGTGGTGGGAGCGGCGCACAGACGAATAAATCCGCCTCAGCTTCACTCCCATACCGGCGGTGCCCTTCACGGCGGCGTCTCGGAGTTGATGGCATCGTGTCTCTGCCGATCCTTCAGATCGGCAGCGTCAGGGTTCATGGATGATGTTGGCGAGGCGGCGGCGACGACTCCATCGGGTGTGTCTCTCCTTATGCTCTATCCCCGTTGCTATGGTGTTGTCTCCGACGTCATGGTGGAGTAGGGAGGTTTTGTCGTTCAGGAGTACGCGCAGGCGGTTGTCTACACAAGTGAAAGCTGGAAGATGGAGAATCTTGTGTTGGGTCTGTGGTTGAAGGCTGACAGTTCTGGTTTCCTCCTTCGACGTCATCGTCATGTGGGGGTGTCAGTTCTGAAGTTCGATGGCGTGTCCGGGGACATGTTGCCCCGGTCTGATTCTTTTAACGGGTATGATTTTGCTTCTGGCAAACTACTTTGGAGGTCCGCAAAGCTGCTGATCAGCGATGGAGCCGCGTCGAGCTTGGGTGAAGAGGTGATATGTCTTTTTACTCTTTGGTGGCCGCTTCGGTGGTGTCGAAGGAGAGAGACAGATGTTGGTATTTTGCATAGGATTTTCCTATCTTTTCAATTTTGTATGATCGGTGCTTACGTGGCTTGTAACTTGATCTTTATTCTATATAAATGAGACACGCATTACCATGCAAAAAAAATCATATCTGAATGAATCGACAGGAAGGCAAGGACTTTGTACAAAGAACGTTCCGGCGTCGCTCCGTGCAGGGCTCAATCTTTTTTTTTTTGAGCATCAGTACAGACATAAGCGCTCATGTACACGCGCATATACTCACCCCTATGAACGCACACACGCACACTAAACCCGGGCATGGGCAGCCCGGCCCGACTACACGGCCTGACGACCCGGCCCGAGCCCGGCCCGAAAAATTCGGGCCGGGCCAGGCCGGCCTTGACATTCGGGCCGGGCTCTGGCTTTGTTTTGCAGCCCGAAAGATAGTTCGGGCCGGGCTTGGGCTTCAATTTTCCCGTATTTTGGGCCGGGCTTTCGGGCTTCGGGCCAGGCTTGCATGTGCGCGTACTAGAAAATAGCATTCGGGCCGTGCTTTCGGGCTTCGGGCTTGACTTCGGGCCGGCCTCGAGCTTGAAAATATGGAGTATTTCGGGTTTCGGGCTGGGCTCGGGCTTGAGAAATGAAGGTCGGGCTTTTACAAGCCCGGCCCGAAACCCGGCCCGGCCCGACGTTTGCCCAGGTTTAACGCACACCCTACCCCTATGAGCACTTCCGAGAGACTGAGCCGGCATATCATCTAGTACGTATAAGTTTGAGGGATAATGTAGTACAGAATTTTAATAGGTTATTTCCTCAAAAATGGAAAATAATAATTTGAACGAATAAGTTATAAAGCTGGACATAACGAGCGTCTAGTCTTTCTATATACGCACGGTACAGCCTTTCCTTATCCCGTTGATTGAACTCCTCGGGGAGAATGGCGGCGGCGGCGTTGCCTTCGCCGTTCAGGAACATGCCGTCCCGGGCCGCGGAGTGCCACATCCGCGGCGAAGCCACTGTCAGCAGGCTGCTCAAACCCCACGAAAACAAGCGGTGCGTCGTGAAACTGCTCGGTGACTTGTTCGCGAGCTACGAGCTGCGCAAGCCGGGCTCCAAGGCAAGAGGAAGCGTCCGGCAGGAGGCGCCCCAGGGGATCTACGAGGTGTTCCCGATCTGCGACCCCAAGACCACCTTCGGGAGCCGCCAGGCCTGCAGCGACGCCGTCCACAGGATGCTGAGGGCGACGCCGGTCGTCGGGGATTTCAATCTCGCCCGCGCCAACTGGGACAAGTTCCTGCCCGACGATGTCGCCGGGCTCGTCCTTCCTGGCCTCGGCGACCAGGCTGGTTGCGACGACATTGACATATCTCTTAAGATCTGGGTGATGGTCGTCGATGATATGGCGGTCGTCGAGGATATGGCGGAGTGTTGTATCTGCCTGTCGGACCTATTGAAGGATCAGGACGCTGTGACGCTGCCTGGTTGCTCGCACGCTTTCCACCGCTCCTGCCTTACGCCGTGGCTGCACAAAGCAAAGACGTGCCCAATGTGTCGCGCCGTTATGCCCAGCCACGTGCTTTACAGCCTCATGCATCCCTAAAGGCGCCAATGGATACAAGGTTTCTCATCCAATCGATGGCGGTCGTCAATGAATACAGGCATGCAGTATTTTTTTAAACTTCTTATTAAATCAGTTAGGTCTTGGTTGGTGTTGAGTATCGTGATTAGTTAGGAAATATAAGGTACGCTAGAATTTGTTCTAGTTTGTCTTCTACTCCAAGTTGATCATGTACTCCTATAGTCCTATATATAAACTCATGAGGCTCGAGCAATAATCATCGATTCCACCAAATCCCTCTATTCCTTTACAT